AAATATTATATATATTATTGTACTATATATATTATTATATATTATTATTATTATTATATATATATATATATATATATATATATATATATATTATTGGACTGCGGATTTTGTGTAATTATGGTAAAAAAATGAGCAGGTATAATTTAAAACAATAAAAATATTAAAAGAAATTAGAAAATCTTGATGTACTATCTGATGTACCATTATTAAAATTTTTACCAGAAGAAAAAAGTTGTGCGCTTGACTTCTAAAATCGAAGCAGAGAATTTTTATTTTGCACAAAGATTTTCGGTGTAGTAATTATGTCGCAAATAAATGATCGTCATCTAGTGTCAATTAATTTCAAACATCCACGTGGTACCGTACCCTTGACACAACAGATCAATAAAACAATACCCCGTGGCACGTGTCGATCGAGTTGCATAACAGTAGTATTTTTATTGTCATTGCACTATGAACATATCGTGCCGTTCACACACACGCAAACCTGATCGAAGCGTTTCGCTTTCAATTTACTATCCTTCGAGCGCGTTGCGTTAGAAAGTCACGTTTATTCATTAGTGAGTCATCAATTGATAGGCTGCGAATTTCTGAGATAATAATGCTCATTACCACACTACTTACCGCCTTGCTAGGCTCGCAAGCATAATCTTTATTACGTGATTTCTTAGTCCATCGACTGTCAGTGCACTTAATTTCATAACTAATCATTTTGTGATTAACTTCGTGGAGCAAAAAATGTCTTCAGATTCATAGCAGCAATGTAACATAATGACTTGATCGTATTATTCGTTCGTAAATAATTTATTTAATTTAATTTAATTTAATTTAATTTAATTTAATTTAATTTAATTTAATTTAATTTAATTTAATTTAATTTATAATTTATAATTTATAAACATTCTCTCATTTTTCGATGAACTTCTACTTTTTTTACTGAATTTTAATTCACATTATTAAAGGCTGAAATACACAGAGCATAATCATAACTATTAACGATCTACAAATTTTTGCCTGATTTCGTACAATTTATAGAATCATGTACACAGGATGTCCCAGTATTCGCGGCGCAACAAGGCCGGAAATGATTCTACGCGAAAAATATGTCAGAGAAGCGTAGAATAACATTTTTCCTCGCGAGACTTCGCTTCGAAGAACGAAGTAGAAAAGGTAAGCCATGAACAGACGCGTCAGCCGTCAGCTATTCAGGCAGCACGTGTGCCTTTATGAACTAAATTGGTTTTTCAATATCTAATATCGTTATAGCTCGTATCAAAAATACCTCAGATCAAATTCCGATATTAAATTTCGATGTTTTCGTGCCTCTATAAAAGCTCGGGGTGCCAACTTAGAAATTCATACGGCATTCTACGCTCGTAACTAGACAAAACAGTTGATGAAATTATGTTTTATATTTCATCATGCATATTTATCGAACCATGCCCAATCAGGTTAACACCAGTCCCCGTCGTTTCGACATCAATCAACTAGCAGATACGTTGAAACACTGGAAAAAGTACGAAAATCTTTTTATCGAAAATTTGCTGCAGAACTTTCAAAATGCAACGATAAAAATTGTTCCGCAAATAGGATTAATAACACCGTACAATCCATTGACAAATATTTTCGGAAACGTGCAAATAATTATTACAATCGATATTCCAATAATTTCTATCATAATTGACTAACAAATATTTCTTCAACGTTTCGAATCGCATTTTCTCGAGCATGGAAGTTCGAAGCAAATTTTTCGAAAGCTGGAAAACTGTTCGCGAGATCTACGATTCTACAGCAATGTCTCTCTAATTGACGCCCAGATTGTCCACAAAAATGGACAAATTAGGAAAGGGAGATACTATAACTGTCAACGACTATAAAAACGAACCGCAAGGTTCGAATAATCGTATCTCCTTTTCCCAAATTGTCCATTTTCGTGGACAATCTGAGCGTCAATTAGAGAGACATTACAGTATCCGTCAACAAAAATTCTACAAAATCGAAGCAACTTCATCATGAAATAAAGAACGAGACGCGAAGATACGCGACATCGAATACCGTATCAATTTTTCATTTTTCAACACTGCTCAAATTTTGGCACGAGAATTCATCGTTCGATCTGGACAAATAATTTCGTCCGCGTTTTAGAAAGTCGCGAAATATATTTATCGGGGAAAATCGCTCGAAAAGTCAAGGGCTAGAGCCGGCTGGAAGTTGCTGCTGGCGAACCACCCTGTATAGGTGCCGTTTGCATCGGCAGTCAGCGTATTACCGAAAGTATTGTGCGAAGTGAAGTGAAGGGTTCCCGCGCGACCGACTAGAAAGGAACTTCCCGTAGGCCGTAGATCAAGTGTTGCGCGAATAATTATTTATTCGATCGAATACGTATGCGGCCGGCACCGATAAGTTGCGTAGCGTGTGTCAAAATCCACTTCCACGGAATAATAATCCGCCGCGAAGGCGTGCTTGCGCACGGTCGCTCCCTCGGCGTCGTGGAAAGTTCAGGAATCGCTTTACGATCGTTTTGATCGGTTCGGTTGGATAATTTGGGTGCGTTTCAGTGTTCGTAGATTTCGAGCCGACGCTAATGTGTCCGATCCCCGTGACGAATGCCGGCATGCCTCGCAATTTATGGAAAATCAATCGCGCCATCGCCGGACGATACGCGCGACGCGATCAATCCGATCGCCACCCCGAGCATTCAGTGTGAAGCACCGGTGTTTTTACACGAAAAAACAACGAGTCGATTTTGTCAGAATAGAGTGCGTCGTTCTCTGGAGCGCAGTGCAACGTACAAGGTCGGTCGACTGATTTTTCCGTCGCGTTTTTCGACATTTTTCGCGGAATTGCGAAAATACTGTGACCACGAGTAATCTCATAATTTAGAGCGGACGTGGTAATTGCACGATCCGCTCGAAGAAACTGTTGGATTTTATGTAAGTGAATTTATTTAAGTGAACCGGGAATCGCGGCAAAAAGGTATCCGTTGATTCCTTAAATAGTTACGTAGATTAGCATTTGTTATAAATTTATTTATGGAGATGTAGAATAAAATAATATATAAATTTGAGATTTATAAACGAAAGTATAGGAATGAACTAAAATTAAATAAATTTATAATAAAATTTAGATTGACATACAAATTTATAATAAATTTGTAACGAACTTCAGAGTCAAATCTAGTTATAAATTTATTTGTAGAGATTTAGAATAAAATAATATATAAATTTGAGATTTATGAATATAAGAGAGTATAGGAATGAACTAAAATTAAATAAATTTATAACAAAATTTAGATTGACATACAAATTTATAATAAGTTTATAATAAACTTCAAAGTCAAATCTAGTTATAAATTTATTTGTATAAATTTATAATAAAGTAGTATATAAATTTAAGATTTATAAATAAAAGTATAGAAATGAACTAAAACTAAATAAATTTATATTAAAATTTAGATTGGCATAGAAATTTACGATAAATTTATAGTAAATTTATGACGAACTTCGGAGTCAAATGCAGTGATATCGACGAAACGCCCTGCAAAAAATAATAAATCACGAATTGTTTCAGCGTCTTCTAGGAGCATTTCGCACGACAGACAAAGGCGCACGTATTTCTTTTATCCGCGAGGCGGCTACCGACAGGATTTTCGCGAATATTGGGCGACAAGATGGCGACACAATTTTCATTCAACGCCGCGCGATGATTTTCGTCTGAGACGTGTGCTCCTCGAGCGGAATCGGGATCGAAACGAAGCTCGAAACTGCCGCGAAAGCAGTCGGAATACCTAAGTCACTCTATATCAGTCGCGATAGGAGATTTCGGGAGTTTTCCGCTGAATAAGTCTCGGGATCGGAGACGCGAGGCGAGGATACTTCGGATGGAAAGTTTGGAAAGCCTCCTCGGAGACTTTAAAACGGCGCCGCGTCGAAAATCAATGAAACAGGGAATTCTATATATTGTGAAGGAATTAAAGCCGGTCGCTTTTGTCAACGAATTTTCGATATTTCGACTCTTAATCTGGCCGAAATTAAATCAGGACCGGTCCACGCGGGCGAAAAATTAATACAGGATCGCAGTTCACACGTTATAAATATTTTATTTCAGACACATGTTACAATATTACATTTCTCTTCTACTTCAAATTAATTACAATCTAGGTTCCTATCAAAAATCCATTAAATTCACATTTACAAGAAAAATTCGTAATCATTAAAATTTAAATAAAACATCTACAACCATCAATTTCACCTCTATACAAAATTAATTTCAATTTAGATATCTGTCGAAAATTGATTACAAAAAATTAACATATCAATTCCTATGAGAAATCTACCAAAATTTAAGCTTCCATAAAAATTTGCGACGACCAAAGTTTACAATAAAAATTAAACAGACAATACCACCGATGGAATAGAATGTCAGTTTACGTAAAAATAATCGAACCGAAAATATTCTAGCGACAAAAGAAGAGTGCGGACACGTGAGGGCACGATCAGCAGGAATGATAGCAAGACACACAAGCCTAAGCGATTCTTCAGAGAGCACATCGGAAACAGGAAATGGCCGAAGAAAGGGGGAGGGTTGCAGGGATCCGTGTAGGTGGAAAAATTGAAGACACGGAAGAGCCGTGAAGATGAAATCGTCTAGGGTCGAGGGGGGAGGGTAGACAGGGTGGAAATAGATTGGAAAGTTCGCGAAAAATACGTGAAAATCGAAGCGGTTATAAAAGAGCGGTGGATTCGATTTAGCGATCGTTACATTGGCCGACCAAGCTCGCCTTGTCGACGGGGCTAAGGATAGTGATAAGCGTATCTTTAGGAACGAGAGACCCATAAAACGATGGGTTGCCGCTGCCATTACAAGGGGATCGACCGCGCGCGATTGCGAGAGGAGAAAACTGCAGTTCTAAAGTTAGCGTAATAAAAAGTCGAGGCGCAGGAAGTTCTTGGCCCGGGAAATGTTTACGCTGAAGATAGCGAGGCACGGGGGACGATTATTCGACGCTGGTAAAATGGATCAGACATTCTCGATTCGATTAGTCGATACTGCTTCGGTATATCGCTTTCGAATAATTAAACTTAATGGAGAAAAAAGGAAACAGATCTTTAAATAATTTCTGTTTGAAGACGATATGTTTTAGTAAATGTTTTATTAAATATGTTATTGAATAGACAATATTTCAGAAAAATGTCATCAATAATAGCAGATTTTAGGCATATACTATAAACAGTAAAACAATAAAAACGTTTAAAATCACTCTTAATTTTAAAGAGTTTAACAAAAGAAGCGATAGTCGATGCAGTTAATTTCCGTTTTACAGACAAATCCGCCGTCAATTAATGAATAAAGGAAGAATTAAATATTCTAGACTATTTCGAGCGAAACATCAGAGCAATTTTTGTCTAAACTGAAAATCATTTGCTTCAGATTCTGGAGGAATTCGCGGCTGCGGCGGACGGGGGCGGCAAAGCAGCCGGGTAAAAAACCACGTACACGAGTTAACTATATTCCGCTGAGCGTGCAGACCTTTGAGGAAGTTGAAGTATCGTGCACTCTATCGAAGAACACTTCACTTATTGTCGGGATCCTCCAGATATTTTCAAGAGAGTCAATGTTTTTGTTTACTAGACAATTTCGCCTGATGGAACCGCGACGTTGATCCCCGATCCGAGCGATTTCTGGGATCCCACACGTTTTCCCATTTAGGCGAGTGGCGAGCATTAATCGCCGGGCGCTTCTTCGGCGTTCCTACAAAGGCCTCGCATGCGATTAAACTTAATCGTCGAATCCGATTAATCGCGGGACACGCGACGAGATCGTTCGAATCCAACGGCAACTTGGAAACGTTGGAACAACGGCGGCGGTGCGCGAACGGATAAAAGCGAACGGGGTGGGCAAGGTCGTAAATTACAGAGCGGTTTCTGCGAAGGGCATAATTTACGGAGCGGATAATTTGTTTAGTCTGTTTGCGCGTAAACGGCGAAAGAGAGGTGGCGCGGCTTTTTGCGCGTTCGCCGGTCGATTAACGAGAAATACTATCGGCCGTTAATGTTAAATGCCACGGTTAAAGGCGCGGATAGCCGAGTAATGGAGCGAACCTCCTAGCCACGGTCATTTTACGAGATACAATCGGAGAGAAGGTTATTACAACACCCGCATTAATCCCTGCCTCGTTCGCCTCGCGAATGGTACTTGCCGGCTCGCCGCGAACACCGCCGGCGCGCGGCGGCTTCTTGCGAAACAGCACGGGGACGTATTCTTGAAAATTTTAATGACAGCCCCGCCGATTCGTATTGACGGGCTCCGAGAGAGTTTCGCGTGTAAGTCTAGGCCGTAGTAGCCCGAGCGTTCGTGCTCGAACCTTGCTACCGTTTCAAGTTCCGTGTTACTTTATCTCGGAGAGCCCGTTATTACAGACTCGCGCTATTAGGGTTCCTTGAACTCGACGCCGCTGCTAAAACCGCTTTGTTCGCTTCGGCAACACTTTTTTTCGTTTCGACCGGAAATAATAAAGCAAACGCGATCGTTGCTCAGATTTTATGCATTTGCGACAGAAATTTGTAGATCGAATGCAAATTAAACACAAATGTTTATTAGATATTATTATTTTTTAGAAGACTGGGTATATATGGATAAATGCAAATTTAAATAGTTTAGAGAACGAAGATTAAGGGTACCCTAAGTTAAACATTGTAAGTTGGTTAACGAAGCTAGAGAAGGAAAAGAAGTATGAAATAAAGATTTGCATCTGCTGTAAATTAGTAAATAATAATAATGGTGATTTTAAATATTATTGCATTACCGGCAACTCAGCAAAATTAGAAAATAAATAAATATTCTATGTAGTTCCAGCATCTTGAAATTAACGAAGGCAATTTTTATTTCGCATAAAAATCCGCTGTCTATTCATGATGCACAATATAGAATGCATCGCTGCATATTTTCGATGACGTTAGTCATTTTTCCGTCGAGCATTTCTGTATCATTGAGCCTAACGCATAGCGTGAGCTCGTTGCAAAATGAACGTAATGCAAAGTGGACACATAAAATATATACAGGGTGTACAAATTACATAGTAAATACATACTTTCATGACAGATCGAATAAGCTTGAAATTCATAATCAAACACGAAAAATGAAATCGAACGTGTACAATGAATTTCTGTGCACACTGAATGACGAGAATTCAATAAATCGGTAAGTAAAAATATAGGATTAGCAATTTGTACATTGTTAACGGTTTCGTCGCGTTTCTTTGCGAAAACATGGATAATGTAGAACTGCTACGAACGTGATCCATCAGTCATGAATTTATTAAATCGTGTAACACGCGTTCCAGTGCTCGATCTCAATTAGTTGGATTCGTTCGACTAATCGATCTTATTACGTGCTTCGAGGAAACGTAATCAGCCATATTAACGCGTAGATGCTAAGATGTTTTTGTTTCTCGTTCCTAGTCGTTTACATGCGCACGTGCTACGTGATAATAGTAACTCGAAAAATGAACGACCACAGTTTTTCCAGCCTGTAGATTCCAAAATGCGCGCATCCGTTCGCAACGCTATTAATTAATCAATTTTTATCGACGCGTAGCGAACATAAAACAATTATACAAATTTAAATATTACAAATAACCTATTGATGTCAGGAAAACCTTTTTTACCTAATTTAAAACCCTAATTTATAGCTTCGTGTACTTCGATAAAGTGCGAAGAAGACGTTCCAGATTAAACTGGCTATTTTTTGATATCGCATTTCGGTCCTAGAATGTTGTTAGACTGCGGATTTTGTGCCTGTATATTCCAAAATGCGCTCATCCGTTCGCAACGCCATTAATTAATCAATTTTTATCGACGCGTAGCGAACGTAAAACAATTATACAAATTTAAATATTACAAATAACCTATTAATGTCAGGAAAACCTTCTTTACCTAATTTAAAACCCTAATTCATAGCTTCGTATACTTCGATAAAGTGCGAAGAAGACGTTCCAGGTTAAACTGGCTATTTTTTAATATCGCATTTCAGTCCTAGAATTTTATTAGACTGCGAATTTTGTGTATTTACGACAAAAATGAGCAGGCAAAAATCACAGCTGCGAAACAATCGATCGAATTTAAGAATGTCAACGTGCTATCGTCTACGAACGAATGTACAGCAGAACCTCGATTAACGGAACTGCATTTCGAATGCATTCGAATTGCAATTAAGGAACGAATTCAATTTCTCTTCGCCCTCCATTTCGAATACAATTGCGATCCGTGTTATTTCGCATAAAGAAGAAAAAGTCGACGATTCGAGCATGGTCACCGTGTCGCGTCGGGTCCTAAATAATTCCCGTTTCGGTTGGCCAATTTTCGGTCGTCGAGTTAATCAATTTATAAGCGATCGCCCGCCAACGACTTGTTGCCACGTGTCAGTCGGCCCGAGCCGCGAGTCAATAAAACGACAACCGCGTTGTCACAATTAGTCGGCGTCGGCGGAAATGATTTGGGCATCTAACGGACAGCTCCCGTTGTCTAGTCTCCGAGCAATATTCGCGGAATTGTCGGGACGGCGGGCCGAGAGCGAACGCGACGGGCCGTGTTCCGCGCGCGCGGAATATCGCGGACGTGACGATTTCAGGTCGCGTGGAACAAGCTGGCCCCTATCGACTCATCGAAAAAAGAGCCGAAGGAAGGAAGAATAACGGCTCTCGGCACGGTATAACGCTAACGAACAGACCGGAGCGAAAGGGCAGAGTCACGTTCGCCGCTAAATGTCAAAATTTTCCAATCGCCGGTCTATACACACCCGGCCACGTTTCGTACGCGTTCTCACGTACACACACCGGCTTCACGGACGATTCTCTCGAACGTTTCGCATATTACTTTCACTATCCGCGCTCCGGCGGACAGGCGGTGGCCGCGTAACGTACGCACTGTTCCTCGAGCCGCATGAATAAAGAGCCCGGCTCGAATAAAGGAAAATCCACAGAGAATGGGCTCGAATTGGCGGCCACTGTCCCGCTGCGCCACGGATCGACAATCTGGCCGCAGTCGAAACTCGTTTTCACGACCGTCGGCCGAATCGAACGTTCCTTACCAGTGCCGAACCAAACGTGCGACCACTGGGGAACATCTGGAAATTCGTTGGCTTTTTAGCATGCCACGCATTTGCGACAGTAATTAGCGGACTGTGGAACAATGGACACATTGTACGATTTCAGGGGTATTGTTGTATTAATATGAAACTCTGTTCAGATTATAGAGAGTCGAAATATAGTGCAAATTGGTGCAATTTTTATTTTGCGATTGAATTCTCGGTGTAATGATGAACTCGGAATCTGTCGAAGGGGTAATTGTGACGCATCTTCGATTTATGCGTTTGTAAATAGAATGGGAATCTTCGAAATTCACTGTTTTTTAGCATGCGTATTTGTGACAGTAATTAGCAGATTGTACGTGGAACAATGGACACATTTTACGATTTCAGCGGTATTGTTGTATTACTTTGAAACTCTGTTCAGATTATAGAGAGTAGAAATATAGTGCAAATTGGTGCAATTTTTATTTTGCGATTGAATTCTCGGTGTAATGATGAACTCGGAATCTGTCGAAGGGGTAATTGTGACGCATCTTCGATTTATGCGTTTGTAAATAGAATGGGAATCTTCGAAATTCACTGTTTTTTAGCATGCGTATTTGTGACAGTAATTAGCAGATTGTACGTGGAACAATGGACACATTTTACGATTTCAGCGGTATTGTTGTATTAGTCTGAACCTCTGTTCAAATTATAAAGAGTAAAAATATATAGTGCAAATTGGTGCAATATTTATTTTGCGATTGAATTCTCGGTGTAATGATGAGCTCGGAATCGGTCGAAGGTAATCGCATCCCCAATTCACGCGTCGCAAATAGAACGAGAATTCTCGTGGAAGAATTTTAAACAACGATCGCGTAGAGATTTGTTCGTCTTCTTAATAAAAGTTTCGTCGAAAGAACGGAACGTGGCAGTGTCTCGGAATTTTTCCAGCGTTTTCTCTTTCGCCCGTTCACCGATGCCATAAATCCATCAATCTGCAGTTTAATTATAATGTAGTCCGTATTGCGAAATTGATCGACGAACTGCCGATTTTATGCACCTATTCAAGACAGTGATTTATTGATAAATTGAGTCCATTTATTGGCAATGTATTCTCGTGTTCCACGTCGGACACATTGTTTTATATCGTGTCTGCTGGACATTGTTTCGCAGAAATGGTTACGTTTAAGTTGATCAGATTCTTCTACGATTTTAATCGTAGCCAACAATTTGACGATTGTTTCTGGTGAAAATATTTGTACGGTTTCAGCGATTCTGAAGTCAGTGGAAAATTATTAACTGGACCTAAGCGTTACGAAAAGAAATTCGGCGGACAAGTATCTCGAATTACAGTAAATTCTCCCTAATTTTCCTTCAGCTTGTGAACAAAAATGGACAACTTGGAAAGAGGAGATACGATTATTCGAACTTCGCGACTCAAAGTTGCTTTTACAGTTGCTTTTACAATTGCCGATCGTCAAGAATTATAAAAATGTGGTGCAGGGCTCGAATAATCGTGTCCACTCTTCCAAAATTCACCAGTTTTATTTACAAGCAGAAAAAAAATTACTGTAGAGAATTACCGAGAATTAGCTGTACGTCGTTTCGATTAACAAAGGCAGACCGATTTTTGCAGAAATGTGATTGTTACTCGTAGCAGCGATATCAGCCATTTCGAATTTCGTCGAAAACATCCTCGCACTCATAACCGTAAGTTTAATTGCGAGCCCGTTACATGGTAATTGAGACAAATAGTCGCCGGACATAATGACCAACGAAGCCTGTGTCCGCTTTAAGAGAAACTTAATGAACGGCTGTCGGGTAGTTGTGGACCAGTTCTCGACCCTGATTACAGAGGACCGGGCAGGGCTTTTAAGGGCTTCGCGTGTCAATGATGGTCGCCACGTACGATCTCAGTCTTAACGTTTGTCCGAACCGTTACGCATTACGTAACTGCCGCTTAATTAGCTAATGCCGTCTACCGAAAAGAAATTATCTCGATTAATTGGGTACACGATACGCCGGTAAATTATGGCCGCCGACCATACACACGTGGATGGCTCGAATTGATCCAATTTGTTCCCAATAAAACTTGGCATAATTCGTGCACGCCGCCCGAGGCTGTGTTTCGTCGCCGGAGGTACTATAATCAATTTTTTAGCAGCACTGGCAATTTTACTTTTTGCTGTGACAGTCGTTGAGAAAGAAGTTGAAGCATTATATTATGTGATAAATGTACTTAATATAATGCTTCAACTTCTTTCTCAACGACTGTCACAGCAAAAAGTAAAATTGTCAGTGCTACTAAAAAATTGATTATAGTACCTCCGGCGACGAAACACAGCCTCGGGCGGCGCGCACGCCTTAATTTTTATTATATCTTTAATGTGATAAATGTACTTTAAAGATGTAATAAAAATTAAGGAACGAACATAATTGCTTTTATTGAAACGATGACGGCAGAAATTAAGAAAAGGAAAGTGTAATCTCTAATGAAGAAATGGCGACAAAAGCGGCACCATTAAGAGTAGAAAATCTAAGTATACGTGTTAGTCAAGAATGCAACAAAAATCACGATTTTTCTATTTTTTAATATATATATATATATAATATATATTATATTTTTTAATAAAATAATATATATATATATATACATTTTTTTTAATATTATATATTATTATTATTATTATTATTATTATTATTATTATTATATATATATAGGTACAATGAAATCCAACGATGCATAAAGTAACCAGAAAACTAGTGCTAATAGAATGCTAATAGGATAGGTCCGCGTTCG